GTAGATCGGGTCCAGCGACCTATCTACTATGTTAGTAAAGTGCTGTAGGGAGCAGAGACAAGATACCTAGAGATAGAAAAACTGGCCTACGCACTAGTTCTCGCTGCCCATACTTCCAAGCTCACACTGTTATCGTCCTCACCGACAAACCCCTGAGGCAAGTCTTACTCAAGCTCGAGGTCTCCGGTCGACTGACGAAGTGGTCCATTGAGCTCAACGAGTACGATCTCCAATATAAGCCACGAACTGCTATTAAAGCCCAAGCCTTAGCAGATTTCGTTGTAGAATGCACTTTCAGCTCCGAAGTCCCCAGGCTAGTTGAGCACGAGGACCCAGTTCGGGCGAGCCCGAAGCTCCCAGGCCGGTTGAATCTGAGCGTTGTAAGGTTGCAGCTAGTGTGACATCTCTCCTAGTTAGGCCAAGTGCGAACTGGAATGAGGAGCCCTGGATCCTTCACGTAGATGGCTCCTCGATCCAATAGGGCAGCGAAGCCGGAATAGTCCTGCATGGCCCAAGTGGCACAAAGTTGGAGTACGCACTGCGCTTCGAGTTCGCGGCATCCAACAATGAAGCGGAGTACGAAGCGTTGATAGCCGGGCTAGCTCTAGCCAAAGAAATGAAAGCTAAGCATATCATCATCTGCAGCGACTCCCATTTCGTGGTCAATCAGGTCATAGGAGAGTACGAAGCTCGCGAACCGACTATGATTGCTTACTTAGCCAAAGTGCAAGAGGCCCTACTCAACTTCTAGTCATACTTCATTAGGCAAATCCCAGGGTCGAAGAACGTTGAGGCCGATGCCTTATCCCGGTTAGCCAGCACCAGTGATAATACCATGAGAACCGTGTACATAGAGAACTTGCCTCGGCCTAGCATTCTCGGGGGGGCAGAGGAGGTCGCTCCTGTCGTTCAAGCAACGCCGCTAGAAAGGTAGAGCGTCAGGCGGCCAAATATGTCATGATAGACAAACGGTTGTACCGAAGATCCTACACGCTCCCCTACCTGTGCCGCTTGCTACCTACCGAAGCCAAGCTTGTACTCTGCGACACTCATGAGGGTCTGTGCAGCAGACACTTGGGGGGCAAGGCCCTCACCCAAAAAGCACTACGACAGGGATACTACTGGCCGACAATGAAAGCAGACGCCATTGAGCTCGCAGAAAGTGTGACAAGTGCCAGAGGCATGCCAACATCCGCCATCAGCCCGTTGCCGATCTCAAGTATCTCACTAGCCCATGGCCTTTTGCGCAATGGGGCATTGATATACTTGGACCATTTCCACCAGCGACAGGCCAAAGTAAGTTCTTAGTGGTAGCAGTGGATTATTTCACCAAGTGGGGAGAAGTCGAACCTCTCGTAACAATCATAGCCCAAAACATCCAGAACTTCTTTTGGAAGAACATCGTATGCCGCTTCGGGCTACCTTGGGTGTTAATTTCTAACAACCGCAAGCAGTTCGAGGACATCAAGTTCCAGAACTGGTGCCAAGACATGGGGATCCGACAAAACTTCACTTCGGTCGCCCATCCTCAAGCAAACAGTCAAGCAGAGGTCACGAACAGAGCTATTCTTCGCGAACTCAAAGCATGCCTAGACCGAGCTAAAGGACTGTTGGCAGATGAGCTACTCAACGTTCTATGGGCTTACCGAACCACAGAGAAGACCTTCACAGTAGAAACTCCCTTCAACCTCACCTACGGCACCGAAGCAGTCATCCCAGCTGAGATTGAGGTTCCCTCGCTACGACTGAAAGCGTACGACGACAAGGCAAATGAAGACGAGCTACATACCAACCTCGACCTACTCGACGAAGTAAGGGACCTTGCATATATCAGGACTGCAGCTTATCAACAAAGAGTAGCTCGGTACTATAATGCCAGGGTTAAGAAGTGGAACTTCCGCGTTGGCGACTTGGTCCTTCGAAAAATTATGGCACCTGAGCCCGGCGTTGGTAAGCTCGGACCGAATTGAAAAGGACCTTAGCGAGTGAAACGAGTTCTCGGGGAAGGAACGTACGAGCTCGAAACCCTTGAAGGGAAACAAGTACCTTGGGCATGGAATATTGTCAACTTAAGGCAATATTACCTATAACTAGTAAGTAGACCAAGAGTCACTCCCAAAGCCTAAGGGCCAAAATGCCGAGATAACATGACCTCAGAGCAATAAGACCCAGTCGCCTCTATGGCATGGGCGAACTACTGAGTAGACCATGAGTCACTCCCGGAGCCTAAGGGCCAAAATGCCGAGCTAACACGACCTTGGCGCAACAAGACTCAGTCGCCTCCATGGCATGGGCAAACTTCAAGGGCAGATTATGTCACCCACTCTGCCTAAGGGCTACAACATCGAGCTAACAAAGACCTCGGCATCAGGAAAGACTTAGCCGCTTCAGTGGCGAAGGCAAAGTATGAAATATCAAAGGCGTAGGCAGCTCGGGTTTAAACCCCATGAAGCATGGCTTGTCTCGGCACATTGGTTGAACTAAGGTATAAGCAACAAACGTATAGTTCGGGTATACATGGTAACCACTCCGCAGTATACTATAGGGATGCCTCAAACCTAACTACCGAAAGGTCCTATTTCGGGTATGCAGCCCTAATAGCTCGAAGTGATGAGACCGCTTTAGCAAAAATAAAAAGAGCACACCATACTTAGAAGAAGAAAAGAAATTTCATTACTGTTTCAAAAAAAAAAACGAGCAAAACAGCTTGAGAAAGTTCAGTAGAAGGTAAAGAGGGCACAATTGCCCAACAATGACCTTTTCAAGATCAGGTTTATGGCACCCGGGAGCCACCAGAAATCAAAGCAGAAAATCGATGCCGCCATCCTTAGGGGTCCGCCTCCTCCACCTCGTCCTCGTCCTCCGGGGAGTCAAGCTCTTCCTCCTCCGCCTGGTCTGCCGTCTCGGGAGACAGGCCCTTCCTAGTGATGCCATCAAGGTTGAGCCCGAAAAATTTCTTTCGGACCAACCAGCGGCAGAGCTTGAATCCGAAGCGGTACGAGCTCGAGCCATACTCCACCTGAAGGTTGTGATACTCCTGAGAGTCCTTGAAGTCCCAGACCGCTCTCTCCCGCTCGGCCTTCACCATGTTGTCGAAGTTCTGATTTCGGTCCAGAAGAGTGGACTCCAAGTCCCGAACCTGTTGGCAAAGGAGCTCCCTCTCCGCTGCCACCCTCGATGACTTCTCCTTGTAGCGCACGCTCTCTTCAGAAAGCCTGGCAATCTGCGCCTCCTGGTCTCAGACGAGCAGCTCCTGGGACTCGCTCCCCTTGCGAGTGTGAAGGAGCTCGCCCTGGAGCTTCTGAACGTTGACCTTCTGGTTACGAGTGTCGCAGGAGTGGACGTGCGTCTGGAGGGCCATGGTGTGTATGGCAGTGTTCACCTACCAACAAAAGACTGGAGTCAAAGGACAGCAAAAGGAAGCGAAAGACGGAGGAGAAGAGAAGGACCATTACCACCATACAGTGAGAGGCGGCGAGCGTGGCAAGATCCCCAGGCTGCATTGCCCCCCACTTAGCTACCTCTTCGTTGTAGATTGCTCTTCGGCTCCTCCGACGAGCCACAAGGAAGTCATTCACACCCTCCCAGTTCCCCACTGGGAACCGCCTCAGTCAAGAGAGGACTGAGGTACGTCGACATATACCTCGGCGGGAATCCAACCCGGGCCCTAGTTGACATAGGGGCCACTCACAATTTTATATCCATTGTTGAGGCCAAGAGACTCAACTTGGCCATTTCAAGAGAGCCAGGTTGACTCAAAGCTGTTAATACAGGTGCAAAACCCATCGAAGGTATGGCTTGTCAAGTTGGACTCCGAGTCGGCACCTGGAATCAAGAGATTGACCTCTCTGTTGCACAAATGGATGACTTCGCTGTCGTCCTTGGTATGGACTTCTTGACATAGGCTAAAGCCGCACCAGCACCTCACCTCAACACCTTGTTGATCATGGACGAGCGATCACCTTGCATGGTCGACATTATTGCATCTATTGATATGAAAAAGAAGCAAGTTTCGGCCTTGCAACTCCAACTTCCATCCGCATATCAAGAGTCTCCGGGGAGCACAACAGCAGCAACCACAATCACTGCAATAAGAACTGATCGTGGCATCTCCAGCAAGAAGATAGTGCCACTGCCATCTCAGCGTCAACAAAAGCCGCATCCACAGCATAAGACGCCAACGCCCTTCACCAACGGGCCGAAGAGAAGACCCAAGGCCAACTCCGACATCAGCCTTACCTACCATCCTGGGAAGAGAGTGCCACTCTCATCCTCTAGGAACCATCCCAACATTCGGCCTCCATTACACCCATGTAATAGACCTGTGAAGAGAGAACCTTGGGGAACATCACTTAATATCCAACACCCTTTTGACTTAGATTCATCTTTTGCTCCAATCCCTACCTTAGCTAGTAGTGCAAACCAATCTAAGCCACACTTCACTTACCTTCAAGCCGCTAGCTAATGACTCAACTTAGGACCTGGCCATAGGTTTCCCCATCACACTCAACAACAGCAAACCTATCCCATAGCATTTTCCTAGGCCTTGGAAGTGAAGAAGTTCGTGGATCATCTGAAGAACCCTGAATTCAAGTTGCATACAAAAGATAGTCTTCGAGGACGAAGCCTGAATTGAGTGGGGGAAACTATCACAAGTGACCACTTTTTCGCGGCATCAAGTGCCTTTGCCATGCCCACGACAAGCCATCTCTGCATCTGGGGCTACATGTGTATTTTGTATAGGGATTGCTGATGGCATTATTGTAATTATATAGTATGATTTTCCAATATTTCAATGTAATCTTTTGTCAGAGCACCAAAAGCTTAAGCTACTCTTTGAGGGGAGGTAGGTAGTTGAGAGGTGCCAAGACCGAGGTTAAGCACAAGATCTCGTTGACACAGATTTGTATGCTTGTGTTTGCCATTTATTGCAATATAAAGTACCTTTTTACTAATTCATGTGCCATTTTTGTTACCTTTTGTGTGTGATTGCTTGCTTTCTTAGGCTTACTCGATCCACCTGAGTGCCGCACGGGGCCTCGCCGATTAGCCCTGTGACAGTTGTGAACTCCGGTCAGAGTTCCCGGGCGCATTTCGAATATATGCGTAGTACGCACCTAGCGCATCTTAATCTTGAAGATGGCAGAACTGAGTCTGAAAGAGGTAAGTATAGCGTTAGTGAGTGAATTATTGAAACAGAACTCGCACACGCCAGAGAGGTGATTTTTGGAGGAGTCAAATTCTCTAACAAAAGCAAAGCAACTGAGCTCAGATGGGAAAAACCTGGTTTCTCTCATGGAATTTGACGGGAATATTCTTTGGATCCAACGAATTTTGGCGGGAGAACGTTCACGTCGGATGGGCCACGATCTTCGTCCTGCTCTTTATCTTCATCTGGCAATTGTACAGATCATTAGCCAGCAGACGTTTCAGATTCTTTTCATCTACAAGAACTGCCAAAGCAACTGTTTCCCGTCCTGGAAATCCCCAAATCAAGTAAATTATTCTTTTTGTGAAATTGGTAATTTGATCGAATTAATCTCTCAGTATTGCATGGATTTCCTCGCTCAACTCTCTTGTCTGTACAATCTTTGGTACCATGATGTCTTGTACTGTGTGGATTTATATGTGAATCTGAAGTGCCCCTTAATTCCTCTTTGTCCCAGCAGTGTATTGTGATGGATTATTGGACCGCACCTTCTAATTATTCTTACTCTTATAATTTTTGGGTTTCCAGTATTTGATGAGGTTTATGTTTGGTTAGTCGTCGATTGGATTGGACCAGTTTTCCCATATAAATTGCGAATTATCGGGTTGGAAGTCTGTAAGGTAATTATAGATGTTTATGCATTTGGGTTCTGGGTTTGGCACTTGGAGGCTAGAATTAGCATAAACCAATCAATCTGATTCAATTATAATCTTGTATTTCTGCTATTAATCTGATGCAAATTCACATTTTCTGGTGTTAGAGAAGAGGCAATACTGATGATTGCATGCATCTTTCATTTTCGGCAACTGATATAGAAATTATCTTTTTTCCTGCAGGGGTTTGCAGATTATATCTAATGAAGACTTAAGAAATTTAATAACTGCTTTGGATGGGAAAGTGGATGAGAAGGAGAAATGGGATGAGGTCATAAATAAAAGAAATAATCTCGTATCATACAATGCAAAATGCTGCAAGCCAAAGGTTAGTTTTCTATTATCCTTCTTCACCTACTGTATATGGGATTTAGACTATATATGTGGTGGCTATCTGCATGGAAGCTTTGAAGCTTAGTCAGTGAAGTGGTGCAAAAATTGTTGTAAAATTTAGAATTGGATGTAAGACTGTTTGTAAACTTGTTAAGTGTCTATACCTATCAAAAGAAACTTGGAAGTGTTTGTAATCTTGTTCTTGCAAGGTTCCTTGAACACCTTGGATGGCTAGATTATTTGATTCTAGGTTTTTGAACTTTTTTAAAACATAAAACTTGACTCACTCACTCCATGGAATGAGAGAACAAGTATGAGGTAACTTAAAATTTGGTTTGCTCTTATTTTGACCTTATTTTGTTTTATTTATTTTGCTGATATATCTATTCTTTATTTTTATTTTGATTGTGGAGTATGAATTCTGCTATCAAAATCAAGTTTATGCTACTTCATGAGTACATAAGTTTCTTTTTCTGATGGCGAGTACTTTATCTTTGTCTCTTTATTTAACCGTATAATTATAATATTGACAGCAATTAATATTTAAAACTTTCATCCAACTTAAGGCTGTGTTTGGTTTGACAAAATATAAGAGAGAAACAGAAAATTGAGGGAAAGTTGTTAGGGAAATTCACAGTTTTTATTTGAAATCCAAGTAAATGGTGGTTGTTGGAGGCTTGGAGCCTGGTAGTCAACTAAGTTAATTCAGTTGAATTCTAGGTTTGGCTGTAAGCTTGTGAATATTCACTAAAATAGACCCCTTTTTACTGCTGTAGGATGGTCCTCTGAAGTATCTGAGTGTAACAATATTTGAGAACTGCTCCACCGAACTGTTGAGAGATTTTTACATGGACAACGAGTACAGAAAACAGTGGGACAAGATGTTGATAGAGCATATGCAATTGCAGATTGATAAATCTAATGGAACAGAAATTGGCAGCTCAATCAAAAAGTTCCCACTCCTCACACCAAGAGAGTACATTTTGGCTTGGCGAGTGTGGGAAGGGAAAGACAAGACATACTACTGTTTTATCAAGGTGAGCATCATTGAATTCTTTTTGACCCTACAGCTAATTACTTTTCAAAACGTCTGTTTCTAATATATTGGCAATATTTTAATTGTCAATGTTTGTGGTGGCAGTGGAATTGATGCTGAACACAATGAATAAATATTTTATATTAGTTTTTTCCCTAAATTTTGATGTTCATGCTCTGTTGTGCCTTCTGATTATTTTCCTATGCTTCCTTTTTCCCATTTGACTGTAATGGCTAGGAATGTGAACATGTGTTGGCACCACTAAGGAAGAACTATGTTCGTGTTCGCTTCTTCAGATCGGGGTGGCGAATCAGGAAAGGCAAGTGCCTGATTGGCTATTTATCCTATACATTATTTTTTATCCCACATAAACTGGGTTAAGTTTAGTTTGGATATGAATATATAGTTAAAAGTCTCTGGACAGCCTATCTGTTGTAGAGGATATGTAAAGGTTTGTTATTTATGATTACAGTACCTGGTAGAAATGTTTGTGAGATAAAAATGGTTCACCAAGAAGATGCTGGGTTGAATGTAGAAATGGCAAAACTTGCCTTCGCCAAGGGCATATGGAGTTATGTTTGTAAGATGGATAGTGCTCTGCGCAAATACTCTACAAGAAGCTGTGTTCTTCCAAAATCAGCTATGACTGCAGTCACTCTTATCCAGAAGGTGAGGAGTTTTTAAAATTTCCAGATACTGCCCTTGCTTTTTGATAGGGTACTTAATTAAATGAACTTATCAACTCGTAACCTAGACAGATGACTTCTCTTTCCCGAAGAAGTTAAAATAGTGGTCTGTCCAACTTTCTGATATAACTTGTTAGTCTCAAAACTTGTGACCCCCCCCCCCCCAAAAAAAAAAAAAAAAAAAAAGAAAAAAGAAAAACGAAAATAAATGAAAGGAAAGAAATAAAATAAATATAAGAGAAATGTAACTTCTTCACCAGCAGTTTTGAGTTCAGAATTTATGGCTGCATATCTTTCTTCAGAAAGTCAAACATTATCAGACAGGAATAAAATGTGTATCCACAAAAAAAATGTGTACTAGGAGCCCGTTTGGGAGGGCTTCAACTTTGATTGAGCTGCTTTGAAGAAGCTACTAAAGTACATTCTGACTTTCCAGGTTTTCACCTAACATTGCCTCTCAATAAGTTTATTTTTAATGAAATATGATTTTATCATTTTAGGTCCCACCTGAATTAGAAGCAATGCGAGAAAGCTCCATTTCTAGTTCCAGCAGCAGGCAGGTCAGTGGCAATGTTAGAGAGAGGAAACTGTCTAGAATGCCATCAAAGAAATTGATTGCCAATGGTTTACTTTTGCTTGGGGGTGCCATATTCTTATCTCGCAGTCACTCAACAATTGGTGCAAAACTTGCCGTTGTGTGCTTCTTGAAGAAGCTGACTAAACATAAAGCTTCATCAAGCGAAGTTGGACAAGGCCAGGCCATGCATGACTCATTACACCATAACTGATTCTGGGTGCTTCAGTGTATCTGACTACAGGTTATCAGTTACTGCAGTTTGTACTATGTAGCATGTCTAATTCCTTTATTTTTTTTTCTGTATATATCTATGAAACTTTGTACTATTTAACCAAAATGGTAAATGTTGCCAGATAGATTCTCTACTACACAATAATCATGAATTTAGCCATTTAGGCATGGGAACATTTTTGAAATAAGTCCACTTTCAAAAGCATTTTCATTCAGAAAAAGTAGCTTCGTTGGGACATTTAGGGGGTTCTCCAATTTGAATGGTTTTGTTTTCTAAAGCAATAACAACTGCCACACCAGTAAAAATGTATTGTTTTCGCTGACATGTCAATTGTTTTTGTTTTAGAAAACAAAACTATTTCATATTGGCAAACACCCCCTTAGAGACTCCAGAGATTGGACTAGAACCAAGACAACTCAGAGATCTTCAGGCAAAGAAGGGATGGCTAGAATTATGGAGTGAGAAAAGGCTCTCTGGTTCCAGAAGTTTTCCATCAAGCTGCTTTGGTAGACGTTTGGCATTGGAGCATTTCACAAGTGTTCCATTTCTGCTGATGTGTCATACATGCCACATCAGCGATTAAACGGAATCGGTAAAAAAATAGTATTTGATAGTCCTGTTCTAAAAAAAAATGATTTTGCAATGATTAGTTTTGGGATTTTGGAAAGGAAGGGTTTCTTGTCAAACTTTCGTTTCTTGACATAGCACATTGAAATGTGAAAAAACTGACTACTTTTTTATGAGATGTCACAAGGTTGTCATTATAAATATATTATAATATTAAGCCAAATCACTTTAGTAGGTATTTGGCATCGGTGCTGGGTATGTGGAGTAGAAAATGGTGCTTATTTTTTGTTTGTAACCGGTACTGCCACGTAGGCTGTTTTCCGAGAAAACAATATTGGTTTTATTTGGTACCAGTGCTGGCAACAATGTTTTCAATATGGCCTATACGTTCAAGATGATGTCACATTGATGCTACATCATTGCACTGCTGGCAGCAATGCACATTTTTCTTATAAAACATTGAATTTGGCATTGCTTCATACCATACTTTCTTGATTTCCAAGGCGTGATTTGGAGTAACATTTTTTTTTCTGAAAAAACGGTACCGAACAAGAAGATGTTGTTTGAAGCACTGTTTTCTCTGATGTGGCACCTATATGGTGCCATTTTCTCATTCTCAGAAAATGACATTGATGCCAAACACCCACTTAAATGCCCAGTCAGCCTTTATCCTGTATTTTGTTTTTTTTTTTTTGTGTTTATTCAAAAAACTGATGAAACGAATCACTTGTGAGTTGGAGCCCATTTGTGAAACGCTTTGATGCCAAACATCATATTGATTAGGCAAAGTTGTAACTGGATCAAGGAACTTGTCAGTTGTCACCAGCTTTGGTTAATGGGTTGATGACCAGTTTAAGGCCCATATTCTGTAGGTAATCAAGATTAAAGATCTTCATTAGAAAGCAAATAGAAAGATACAACCATAAACAGAATACAAGACTAGCAGAACACTGTAGAACCACAAACACATGGACTCAAACACCACTGACAAGACATCAAACTCGAACACCTTGAAACCTAGCAGCAAGTCAGCAACACAACACTACGATGAGCCAATCAGGGGGTTCTACTAGAGTCATCATGTCTCCATTGATGCCGTGCTTTGCAAGTTCATGAGCCACCTTTTTGCCTTCCCTACCAACAAAAGAGAAACTAACTGTTTCTTATCAATCTGAATATATCCTCCATTAGAGGACAGAGAACAATTCTTGAGCAAGGAGGCAACACTCCCTGATTGCAAACACAATACTCAGGGGATACAATAGCACAAGGGCTAAACCTGCCAACTAAAAATCTCCTGGAATCTTCCACAACAATGATCTTTGAGATTTCTTTCAGCTAGGCACAATTACGATGAGCCTCATTGTAAAGTTCTTTTCACTTCTTGCATTATGGCACTTAAGAACACTTGGGTATGGTTTAATATCATATTAAAACCGTTTCTTTATTTCCAAATTAACCAGATAATAATAGCAATGTAATCCAAAACAGAGCCCTCCATCTTTCTATTAAATTCAAATCGCGGTGATGTCTGGCATCGATGCCAATTCCTCATCCTGATTTTTTCAAAAATATGTGATTACTGGAATCGGTGATTTTTCAAAAATCACCTTTGTTTGATTGTTCGGTATCATTTCCTCAATGTCAGTTGAGATTATTTGGTATTGATTTTCAAGAGTATTATGTTTCATTGAAATTAGTATTCCATGTAATTTTTTGCTGTCATGGATTAATATCAGATCCACATTATGAATTTCCACCTGTAAATTATATTTCTCAGTATGTTATGTAATATGGAGTATCGGAATGAATGTTTGCTTAGTTTATTTTCACACTGATTACAACTGAACTGAAAAAATGTGTAAGGTTAGTGGTTCTTTGCTATGGCAGTATTAAAAATGGTTTGTCCTAAGAATATCTTCACATGGATTTTGGTCATTCTTACAAAAAAGTGCCTCACTGTGTGTTATTTGTAAAAGAATTTGAAAACTCTCTTGCATTAAATAGCATAGCAAAACAACAAGAGTTTTTAAACAATAGATAGATGAAAAAACACTCCACCACCGCTGAACAGGGGAGCCGCCAGTGGATGAAAACTTGGCCCGACCTGTGTAGGTCGGATGAAAACTTGCGCGATCTAGTGCTTTCTGCTTGCAGACAGCTCGGATGCCAAACTGTGTAGGTCGTCTAACTGAGCTATGAGGAGGGATAATTTGGCCTGACCTGTGATATGACGATACGTGGAGCGACCTATCGACTTGATGACATCTCAGCACCCACGGACACCTCCGCAGCCTAAGTCACCTTGGGCACCTTGGGTCACTCATCCAAGACCGGGGCTCGAGCAGCTTGCACATGCACCGACCTGTCGAGGTACCACCTAGTCTTTTTCTAGAAGTGTGCCAGTTGTCCCCAATCTCCTTGGGATCATGCTGCACGCCAACATATCTTATCGCTATCCCGTCCGAATTGGATGGACCTGGATAAACCTTATCAACTTTAACGGAGTCCATCTTTGGGTGCGGAACGGACTCCAGGTTGCGTGGGCTGGTGATCTCGGACACACTTCGTGAGGCCCACGACAGCTCACCTATATAAATGGTTCAGCTCCATCCTTACAAGGTACATGTGATTTAGCTCTCTTACTGGCATTTTAAGCTATCAGCTCACTCAAAAACCTCCTACGCTAACTTAAACATCGAAGTGCCCACACCGGGTAAAATACCCCAGGACCTCTGATATACTTGTCTTGCAGTTCAACTCGGCCACGTAACAATTTGACGTCCGAGCTGTTTTCTAGCAGGGAGCGACTAGATTGCGTTACATCAATTGGCGCCATTTGTGGGAACTTGAAACAAAATGTCGTAATCTCACCATTTCCTTGCTACCTTATTGATCAAATGGCATTATCAAGCAACAATCAGCCCGCAATCAACAACAACAACATGCAAGTCACTGGGGACAAGAGCTGCACCCAGAGGTACCCTTAGTGACCGTCGGGCAGTTCATAGTGCCCTTAACCATGCCCGGAGTACCAACAGTGCCGAACCCAACCTTCCCACTGCACTAGGTGAATGCCCCTTTCCCTTTGGTTGAGCCATTCATGGTTCCCGCAGGGATCGACGTGCGACAATTCCATGAACTGGTGCAATACGTCTGTAGTACGAATCTTCAGATGTGGACATGGGAGGAGAGGTTTGCCACCCTAGTACACTAGCAACCGCAACAACAACAACTGCAACAACCCAACTTGAACCAGCAACAGAGCCCCCAGAATCTAAATCAGCATCAGCAGCCTGACATCAGAAAACAGGACCAGGTCCCAGATCTACCTTGTCGCATTGATGACTGGAACTAGGTCCCGATCGAGGAGCATAGTAAAGCCATGACACCTATTGGGACAAAAGACAATTGTACCACCGAGGTGTCGAGGAGGAGATGCCACTAACGTTCATGCTGCCATACTGGGAGAAGCCACCTCGCACCCACCAACAACAAGGAGGCAAAAAAAAAAAGAAGTCAGCTAGGTCGTCGTGCAGCTAGCAACACTGCATGTGACCCGGACATCTCCACTAGCACCAGAGATCCTTATGGCGCCACGACCTAAGGACTTTAAAGCCCCGAGCCTGGAATCATACAATGGCACAACAGACCCTGTGGACCATATTGACAGCTTCCAGACCTTGATGCAACTTTATGGGGCGAATGGTGTGAGCCTTTGCGTTGCCTTTCCGACGACGTTCTGAGGGACAATTCGGATGTGGTACTCAGGGTTGGCTGTGGGCTCGATTAAGAGCTGGAATCAGTTCATGGACCCGTTCACCACGCACTTCACCACCAGCAAGAGGTGCCTACTAAACGTCACCCAACGGCTGAATGAGACACTCTAGGACTATATAAAGAGATTTAACCTAGAGCATATCCAAATTCCTAACCTCGACCCAACAGTATAGCTCACCGTAGCGGTAAACGGCGTCTGTCACCCTAACTTGCGTTGGGAGGTTGAGTTGAACCCTCCAACCTCTATGGAGGAGTTCCTCACCCAAGCTAACAAGTTCACTAAGGCAGAGGAGGCGTTGAGGTCTTGGTTAGAGCTGTACAGGAAGTGGGGAGAATCAAGTAGCGGCGAAAGAGCAAGTCACCGAAGAGAAGTCGGTCACCCTGCAACCGGAGAAGCAGGTTGCCACGAAGTGGTAGTAGATCGCCACACCGGAGTTCTAGATCAGGCCAACGATCAGAACTCCCCCAGTCCAAACTCAGAACTACACCGCCATGAATGCAAAGAGGGGCGAGATCCTGATGCAGATCAAGATGGCCGCCCAGGATGAGAGGCAACCCCGCCAACTGCAACCCCAACAAATACTGTCACTTCCATCGTAACATTGGCCATGACATCGAGAGTTTCAAGAATCTGAAGGACAAGATCGAGGAGTTGATCCATTGCGGCTACTTGAGGCAGTTTATCAAGCGCAACGACAGGAGCTAACCTTCCGACCAGCCCAGGGAAGAACCAGAGTCAAACAATCAACAGGATCGTGATTAGCCACCTTGGGATCCCCCACCACCAGAGAGGCCGATTCATGGGGTGATCAACATGATC